AACCCTGCGCGCCCCGGCCGGGTCACGGGAAGCCAGGCCTTGGGTGCGCGCGCCGCTGTGGGGCAGGCTGCGCCTCAGGGGGCGCGTGGCGCCGAAGGGCGAGAGCTGCGCGGGGACTGCGCCGGAGGCCGCCCATTCGTCCTCTGAGCGAGGCCGGATTTTGGCGCTCGCGCTTTATAGTCGGTGGAGCCCGGTGACCTGTTCCGGGGCTCCAAGACAACCTCGGTCAACAGCCCAGAGACTGTTTGGTTATTTATTTGGCCTGGAAGTTCGCGCGTCACGGGGCACGCCCACTTGTTTTTCACTTTAGGAGAGGGGCCTCTCGTCTGCAGGATTCCGTGAGGACACAGGAACCCAGCCAGAAAACCCCAGGAATTAAAGCCCGGGGATTAACAAAGCCGACTTGCAAGTATGCAGGCCGCTGGACTGGAAATCGGAACCCTGGATCCTGACTCGGGCAGCGCTGCTAAATAGACTTGTGTCTATTTAGACAAGGGGTGATTTCAGTCACCCCTTCATAAAGAATGGCTAGTACCCGCCCTGCTTAAAAAAATATCTTAAAAAGCTCGATAGAAGAAATGTATACCAAGAAAGGACATTTTGCTTATTTTAATTAGTTGTGACTAGAAACGGATTTGGGTGTGATGAAGGTCGTTCCTTGATCCGAGATTGCTTAAATAATTGATCAGTTTAAGAATTTAGGAAGCAATGAGATTTTGCTGCAGGTTAAAACTACAATTTAACTGGGAAAGTCCCGACTCTGGCACAAATTTAGTAATTATAATTAACCTATTTTCAGCCCTGCCCAAACTTAATATTTTCCGAAATTACTTTTTGTAATTTTGAAAAGGCATGAATAGAAATGAGAAAAGTACAAAGCTTTTTTTTTCTCCCAAAGCGTATGCATAAGAAAGATAAATGATAAAAAAAAAAGAAAGATAAATGGTTGTGTATTACAATGACATTCAATTGCTTTCCTCCTTAGAAAGGAGAGGAAAGTAATTTTTTTCTGGCCAGTTATTTGTATGAGAAACTTTATGCCTCTTTATCTTGCAGCCAAACTATAATTTCTGATTAAAGTCACGGGACACACTGCCAGTTTAACCCAAAGATGGAATGTTTTTTAAATCCGATGAGAATGTCATCTATTTTGAAAGCAGGATCCTTTTAAAAATAGATCTTATTTTGGATTACATTAACTTTCTGGCAGTAGCCCTAATATGTGAAAATTGCGAATATTTAAAATAAGTTAGTTTTATGCTTTAAAAATGTATCTGTAATTTTAAAAAAGTGACAGGAATGTAATATAAAATGAGAAAAAGAACTCAAACATGATTCAGAAATAGAGTTAAGACTACAAACCAGTGAAGTTAGGAGGGAAAGATAACTTTAATCATTGCAAATGAGGCTACCTGGTAGAACGTTTTGAAAAAATACTTAGAATAGAAACTCTACATTATATAGAATAAAGGAAAGGAAGGAATAAATTTTTTAAAAGAATAGAGGAAAGGAAGTAGAAAAAAATGTGGGGTCGATAAAGAAATGAACAGACAACTTTTGAAAGCCTATTACTTGCAAAGCTGTACTAGGAACGATTTTAATTTTAAAAGACTTCAACTATCTACATGCTGAGGCAGGAGCAGTTCAGTTCGGCCTCCCCGGCAGTGGCCACCACCGCTCTGGCCTCCTCTATCCTCGTGACTGTATTTTTATCAGCTGTATTTTGGGATAAATGTAACCAGATCACTGAACAGCTAAGATACTTGAGAAACTGTCTAATTAAGGCGAAAATTGTGGTTCTTACCTTTTTAAAAAATTTGAAAATAGATTTATTAAGCAGGAGAGGCAGTACAGTCCAGAGAATTAGGAGCAGGCTCAAGCAAGAGAGTGTCTGACTTTTTGAAGCTATTGGCAAGGAAATGAAATTTCAGTGTAAAATGCATATTTCATGTCCAATTAGAGTAGGCTCCTATTTATTCAGAATGGCAACTTTATTCATTTTATTCGTTTTTGTGTTCTCTCTCCCACCCCAATGCCCAGCATGAGTTCTAGCAGATAATTTGGATTGACTGGATTGAATGTATCTTAATTAACTGACTAGTTTATTGAATGATTAGATTGGATTGTAAAAGTCTTTGAGAAGAGGAACGTTTTGTCTCATTTATCATTATATCCCCACCCCCAGCAGTGCCTGCCTCATAGTAGGCACAGGTACTCTATACATTTTTAATAACTTAATATTTAACTTAATATTTTAATAACTTAATACTAAGTTTTAGCTGAAAAGGAATTTATATTTATCAAATACCTACATTTGTCAAGAACTTTAAATGTAATTTTATTTCTTACCACATTTATAAGAAATAATTTTTATCCCCATTTTAGAGATGAGGGAATTCAAGTTCAGAAAAAGGTCAGGATATCCCAACGCTTTGGGAGACTGAGGCGGGAGGATTACTTGAAGCCAGTAGTTTGAGACCAGCCTGGGCAACATAGTGAGACCAGGTCTCTTAAAAAGAATTAACTGGGTGTGGTGGCATGCGCCTGTAGTCCCAGCTACTCAGGAAGCTGAGGCGAAAGGATGACTTGAGCACAAGAATTCAAGGCTGCAGTAAGCTATGATCATGCACTCCAGCCTGGACAACAGTGAGATACCATGTCTACAAAAAAAATTTTTGTTGTTTGAATTTAGCCTGGCTGGTGGGTCATGCCTATAAGTCCATTATTTTGGGAGGCTAAGTGGAAGGATTGCTTGAGGCCAGGCCAAGAGTTCAAGGGTTGTCTGGGTAACATAACGAGACCTTGTCTCTGAAAAAAATAAAAAAGTTAAATGGGCATGCTGGTGTGCATCCGTAACACCAGCTACTCAGGAAACTTAGGCAGAAGGGTCACCTGAGTCCAGAATGTCAAGGCTGGGGTGAGTCAGGATTGTGCCACTGCATTCCAGCCTGGGCGACAGAGTGAAACTCTGACCCAATAAATAAAAATAAAAATTAGCTTGGTGTGATGGTGCATGCCTATAATCCCAGCTACTCGGAAGGCCAAGGAACTCAGGAGTTCAAGGCTTCAGTGACCTAAAGTCGCACCACTGCACTCCAGCCTGGGCAACAGACCGAGACCCTGTCTCTAAAAAATGATGAGTAACTGTCTGGTATCACACAGAGAGTGAAATGCAGATCAGAAATTCAGCCTTAGGGCTATGTGACTCCAAAGTCCATGTTCTTTCCATTACACCACACACCACACTGCTCTCTTGAACTTCACTTAGTCTCTCTTTTTTTTTTTTATGATTCAAACCAATACGATCTTGCAAATAGTGTAAATGTTACAAATGCCATTTATCTATTTATGGTACTTCAAAATTTTGTGATTGTTATAGGGCACTTGTCTTAGATATTGGGGGTTTTATGGACTTTAGACACAGCAATGGAGTAGGGCTCTTAAAGGCAGCTGAACCAAACAAAATTGGGGGTGCCATGCTTGTATCACAGGACCCTGCTCCAGGACCCCAATTGATTAAAGCCATGGTGGATGTCTGGCCAAGGTGAGCCCGTCAGCAGATTACAAACCCTATCACTTGTAAGGAACTGCCCAAACAGAAACAGAGATTATTTATTTTTTCTCATTCTCTCCCAGAAATTTAATCCAAGGAACCCAGAGGGAAATTGCAGTTAGTAACAGATCAGAAAGAAATCACAGTTGGTAGCAGATCAAAAAGAAGCATATATGTGGAGTGTGCTAATTTTTGTCAATTGTGGAACATAAATGCAAAGATTCATAAAATACTCCTGAGGTAGTCAGGCTTCCTTATATTCAGGGTGATGCTCCAGGTACAGCTTCATTGAGGTCAGCTGTGTTAACAGCTGGATTAATGTGAGAGTCTCCTTATTGCTCATTATAATAACCCCTCTCTACCTGAGCTAATGCAGAGGAATCTCTTTTCAATGCAGCCAGCTGGGTCTATGTTAAGCAGCTCCTTGGTGACCTGTGAACCCCTGCAGTGATGAGATCTCTCTGTGGTTAGCTGAAGAAGATGTCAGAGAAGGGAGTTGGGGCACTGGAGAGTGTGAATGACAGAGGAGACAACAGAAGGCATTACTAGAGAAAGGAACGTGAGTGACAAGGAATTGGAAAGTACATGTCCTATTTGCCCACTTGCCAAATCGTCACCATTCCATGCTTGGTCAACTTGAATACATTTCAGGATGTAAGTCTCCTGACTAAAATGTTACCGAAAAAACTACAGAGACTAAATGAATGGCCTCCTCCTTGAGTCATTCTACCTGCACTACCTGAAGGAAGGAACTCCATCTTTGGACCCTAGCATCCTTCTTAGACAGAATAAGACACTCAGGATATAGGGAGTAAGTGAAAGAAATGCATGAATCGTTTTTTACATACCTGACTCAAACGGGCTCTATTGTCCTACTGACTTCAGAAAAACCAATAAATAATCTGAGTAGAGAATAATTTCCTAAACCATACTAACTGGGAGGCAGTATACTGATGCAGTTAAAAACGGTGGGTTTTGTCAGATAAAGGTTTCAAAACCCACCTCTGGAAATCTAACTTCTCTTACTAAATCTTGATTTTGTTACTTAATCTCTTTAAAACTTAATTTCGTCAGCTGTATTTTGAAGTATATTACGTGTTTCTTAAGGTCATTATGAGTCTTAAATCTTAGCATAAGCCGGGCTCGGTGGCTCAGCCTGTAATCCCGCACCTTTGGGAGGCTGAGGTGA